GAGACTCACCTTGAATGCAGAAGCTTCCTGAAAGAAATCCTTAGCTGCTGCCTTGTCCACTTCCTGAGCTATCAATACTAAAATATCACCTAATTAGTAATTGGGTTCTATACCATGATCCATAATCCATACTTGGGTAAAATAACCATTTTACCCCTAGCCCACGAGATACTTAAATAAGGACCAAGTTCAAAACTCCAAAATCCATAAAGGCCCACTAATGACCCAATTTTACAAATTACGCCCAAACCCTTACATAGGCCCTTCCTAAAGCCCATTTATTATTTACTGAATCATTATACCTGTCCATATCTAGCCCAAAAAAATCCATGCACTTACAAGCCCATTAATGGCCAATTTTCTGAATTGGGCCCAAACTCCTTATTAGGCCTCATCCTATGATCCAATCCTTTAATTAGCCCACAACACAACCAACCAGCTAGTCCATTAGGGTCTAGGAATCTAGGCCCAAACCTGAAGCCCAAAGTCTGAAATCTCAAACAGAGGCGTACGCTGGGCATACCCCTCTTGTACGCTGGGCGTACCCTCGCCTCACATTGACCATCTACGGGATGGTTGACTCTGTACGCGGGGCATACATCGACTTACGCGGGGCATACTCGCAAAACTTCCAAACTACTTTTGAGACTTAATCAGTTAAGAGCTTTGCGTCTAATCTTCAAAGAACCACCAAATGAAGCTCTTCATGCACAAAGTTGGCACCTTTATGCATTTGCATGGATCAAAGGGTCTTAATGACTAACTTAACCCAATAATACTCATCTAGGACATGCATGAATGGTTTCTAGCCTCAAAGATCGCAACTTCTAGGACATGCATGAATGGTTTCTAGCCTCAAAGATCGCAACTTTATGGGCTTATAACCTCTGAAATGCTAAGAGTAGCAACTCAAAGCTCCTAAAGTGGTGTCTACCCAATAGATATTGCTTATGAGGCCAAAAAGGGACCAAAAACCCACATATTCATAAATAACAACATCTAGTGATAAGCTCAGAACTTTTTACCTTCTTTGAGATGAAAATGTAGCAAAAAGTCCCGATCTACAAGCCCTCCCTTAAACCACCACCTTGTATTGAGCTTCCACTTCTTGAAATGCACCAAAAAACACCCAAAATGCACTCATAAAGCTCACAACACTCTTGGATGAAGCTACCAATTGAAATTAGGGTTTAAGGCTCTGGGAATGAAAGAGAGGCGCACCCCGTTTGGACTTAAGGTGCTTTAAATAGTGAGCCAACCCTAAAAATTATGGTTTTGGAGATCCTGGACATACGCTGGGTGTACATCACCTCGCACCCGCGTTTCACTTATCCAGCACTACGCTGAGCGTTCTCAGCTTACGCTGAGCGTACTCACTGTTTGTAGCCTTTGCATGCATCCTGAAATACAAGTTTTTCCCACCTAGGGACCAAAACTTCCAAAGCCCTCAAGCTATCATAACTCCCTCATTCTAGGTTCGTTTTCGACGAACCTTATATCCACAAAAATTTGGCGAGAAGCCCTACACCCCTAACAACACGCCCAAGCCTTACGACCTTCTGAATAAAACCCAAATCCCATAAAGAGCTCGAACTGCTACTTTACCGATATACCCCTTTGGCTTCAAGACACGACCCAACTCCCGAATCACCTCATTTACATTATCTATACGTAAATGGTTTTAGATATCTCTCTCTTCCAAAGTTCCCAAACCTTATGATAATCTATCCTCAAGCCATAGTCCCGAATTAGGAAAGCGATTTGGAACAGGACGTTACATGCGGCTTACCGCACTTGGCACATTGGCCACGATCCTGATGGCCCCTGCTGGGAGGATTGGAGGTCTTAGGATTCTTAGCCTGATCCATTACTGCCTGAACCTGTTCTGGTTTCTCTTTGTCCGGAGCTCCAACTCAATTTCCCGTTCACGGGCCTTCTCCCCCATGTCATTTAGGGTCTTGCATCCCGAAAAGCTCACAAACTCACGGATATCATCCCTCAGCATGGAATGATACCTTGTCTTCTTCATCTCCTTATCCGCAGCATACTGCGGGACCAATAGTGCTCTCTCCCGAAACGTGGTGGTGATTTCCGCCACAGTCTCTGTAGTCTGCCGTAGATCCTGAAACTCTCTCACCAAATGCTGCACCTCGATGGCCGGTGTAAACTCCTGATCAAACCTCCTTACAAACTCCTCCCAAGTCATCTCAGCCACACCCACTGATCCCACCTCGCGGGTAACCTCCTCCCGTCATTCTCGTGCTCGATCCCTCAACATACAAGATACGAACCCCACCCTTTCCGCCCCGGGGCAAAAGCTCCTGTGCTGGGCATTCTCCATGTCTACCACCCAACGTTAACTACTGATGGGATAACTGACCCCAAAGAACTCAGGCGCACCACACGCCTTAAACTCCCGAAACGAGGGAGCTCGGGCCCCAATCAGGCCTGCAACAATCTTGGCTCGAAAAGACCTAAGTCGCTCCTCCATGATTTCCATGATGCCCTCCTTAACGGTACCAAAGATCACTGGGGTAGCATCAAGGATGCCACGAGTAACCTCAGCCGCGATAAGATCGCGTAACCTCTCATCAATGGGATCTACACCATAGCCTGAACATGATGTTGATCCTGATCCTGAACCCGAACCTCGCGTGATCATCACGTCCTCAACAGAAAAATACCACATGATAAAAAAAATGATAAGGAATTCGAAGGGGATTCTTCCTTACCGGACTCCTTAGAGCTTCCAGGTCTGACATTGTTTTGGGTATGGGTCCTGTGCTTTCAGTAGTAAGGGCCTAATGCTACCTTCCACACCTACCTATACCTTTCCCAAGGCCATACCTGATACCTCTAATTCACCCAACCATAAATCATGACCCATAAAACACAACACCAACTCAGATCCGTCTACTATTCTAGGATTTCTCAATCCCTACTAAACCAGAAACTTATGACAATCATAGCAGGTTGCCCTATGCATGCAAGTTATACACAAACAGAATCACATAGACTGTCAAATAAGCTTCTGCCCTAAACCAGAGCCAAATAAGTAACAAGAATAAGGCAGAATTCATCATTATAGGGTTATGCAATCCTAGACATATACACCTTTGAAAGCATACACATAGCAAGTAATCAATTCAGCATCAATTTCCAAATATAACTATAGCATGGCTAGTAGATTGGGAACACTTACTTGAGCTCGGCCGATTATGCGTATTGCACTCTCCCTTTTTACTTACAAAAAAACCGTTTTCAAGAAATTTTTTAACTTTTGTTTTTTTTTTTTGAAAAAAGGGTTTACCATTTCCTCAGTTTGAGTTCTGACATACCCAAGAGTGTGTCCGAATCCCTCAAACCAAAAATCTGATACCAACTTTGTAACAGCCCAAATTTCACAGAAAAATTTTCATTAATAATCAGAAATATCAACCACATTTTTTTTCCAAAAATCCCATTACATAACCACATTGTTTAAAAGATCAGAGTATTCAAATACTAAGTGCAGAAATACTAGAGAGTACACGCTGCACCATCAAGCAGGGCCCTTGCCCTTAGAACCAGAAGTACCTGAAACACCCAACAAAACTGTAAGCACACACTTAATGTGTTTCCCAAAAACACATGGAACACGTAACCACATAATGCCATGCACACATATATATAATTTTCCCATGGAATCCCTCCATGGTCTTCATTTGGAATGTCATGGGCTACCCCCATGGTCTTGTATCCCAGAGCCTTGGGCTCCCCCCATGGTCTTGCCAATTGCCAAGGGCTCCCCCATGGTCTTCACATAAATCTACACATATGTCAATTAGCAAACCATTGCATACTCAATTACTAAACATCTCATATCAAATAATGGGTCAACCTTGGTGCCTTTGACCTATGGGTGTAGTGAGAAGACTCACCTCAGTCTGCTGAACACAATAGTTGCTCGCCTATCAGTCTGAAACCTCACACTCCAGAAGTTCCTCAAGATGAACTAGATGTAGTATCTAGAAGCTCAATGACACCCAAGACTTGATCACCACCTTCTCCTTCTTGAGTGCTCTCTAAAATGGCCACCAAACACTCTTTACGCTCAAGGATCACACACTCATGAATATATGGGGTTAACGGACGAAATGAGGCTATGAAGACTGATTAGGGTTTTGTCCAAATGATATAAGGTTGTTTAAATACGATGCAAGTCAAAAAATTAGGGTTTTAGCCACCTGCCACGTACGCCCTGCGTACCTGCTCGTACGCCCAGCGTACGAGCCTTAGCCACCCGATGCGCAACACTCACGTATGCTAAGCGTACCAAATGTACGCCCAGCGTATGGAAGGGCTCTTTTTGCCAAAAATGAAAATACCTGAAGGTAAACAATGGAATACCTAGATTGGAGTGTTACATAACGACATTTTTCGAAGGCCACGTGACAGAAACGATTGTGGGCGTTACTCACACCGACTGGTTTTAACCCATGCAACAATTTCATTTTGTTAACTATATTATTTTTATTTCTTTCGTTATCAATAAAATACAACATGCATAATGAACCATCTTTTGTTATAAACTAGTTGTAAAACTCATGTATTACACGGGTTGATTAAAAAAAATATATATTAAAATGTAAATAATAAATATTTTTTAAAATAAAATTTTGAAACAAAAAATGAAGAAACATATTAATTGTAATTTAATATAATATTTATTACATTTGATACTTTATATATAAGTATAAGTATTATGTGGCTTTTTAATTTTAAAAATTGAAAAAAAAAACAATAAAATAACATGTGATAGACTGATAATATTTATTTAAAAAATATCATAAAATGATAAATATCAAAACTATTAATAAAATTATCTTCATTTATTATAATAATTGATTAAAATTTACCTACCAAATTGTTTCGCCATTTTGGTTGCAACCCCTAGAAATGTTTCGATATTCTTGGAGTCTTGTCCTATATAATGTAAACCAAGTGTTACTTGGTTTTCCACAATAAGAAAACTTTAATACACCACATATCGACATGGAAACTTTCGCACAATTTCTTCCATTGATGGGGCTCTTTCTTTCTGTTCTAATCTTAACTTACAAAAGAAGCACAAAAAACATTACAAGAAAAATCACCAAACTAGCAGCTCCAGAACCACCAGGGGCATTACCTTTTGTAGGCCACCTTCATCGTTTACAAGGCAAAGCTCCTATAGCCAGGATACTAGCAAAAATGGCTGATGACTATGGGCCAGCCTACTCTCTACAGCTAGGTAGCCATCGAGCATTGGTTGTTAGCAGTTGGCAGATGGTGAAAGATTGCTTCACAACCAATGACAGAAATTTCGCAACAAGACCGAATATGACAGTCAGCAGGTACATGGGCTACGATAGTGCTGTTTTCGCCCTGGCACCATATGGAGCGTATTGGCGCGAAATCCGAAAACTGGTTACTTTGCAGCTCTTGACTAGTCAAAGGCTTGAAAAGCTCAAGAATGTTCGTGATTCCGAAGTGAAGTACCTCATTAACGAGCTCTCTAAGAATGGAGATCAAGCATCTGTAGTCGACATGACCAAGTGGTTCGAGCACGTAACGTTTAATATAATTGTAAGAATATTGGCCGGGAAAAGATTTTCCGATGGTGGTAATGACGAAGATTCACAGGTAAAGGAAGCCATAAAGAAAGGGTTGTACCTTAGTGGCGTTTTCGTCGTGTCTGATCTAATCCCGAATTTGGAATGGATGGACATTGGAGGGCATGTGAAAGCGATGAAGGAAGCTGCGAAAGAGCTCGATAGTGTCCTCGGGAAGTGGCTGGACGAACATGTTGATAAGAGAATAGAACATGATGCCGATAAAGAATCCGATTTCATCGATGTGATGCTGTCAAACCTGTCAAAAGATGCCGAAATTTATGGCCATCGGCGCGAAACCGTTATCAAGGCAACAACACTGGTTCGTAACTTAGTTTTTCCTATCTCTATTTCAAGATTTAATCATCCTCTAACTAAAATTCAAATAATTTTCCTAGATTCTGATCTTGACCGGTTCAGAAAGCACGGCGGAGACGCTGACATGGGCGCTTTCTTTGCTATTGAACAATCCCGACATCATGAAAAAAGCCCAGAAGGAGGTTGACATCCATGTAGGTAGAGAGAAATGGGTCGAAGAATCAGATATAAATTTTTTACCTTATCTACAAGCTATAGTGAAGGAAACACTCCGAATGTATCCACCAGGTCCATTAGCAGGACCTCGTGAGGCCATTGATGACTGTTATATCGGGGACTATCATGTCTCCAAAGGGACTCGACTGATTGTGAACATATGGAAGCTACATCGCGACCCACAAATTTGGTCGGATCCTGATGAATTTCGACCCGAAAGGTTTCTTAATGAACACTCGGACGTAGGCTATCAGGGTCAGAATTTTGAGTACATTCCGTTCAGTTCAGGAAGGAGAATGTGCCCTGCAAGTACGTTCGCTTTGCAAGTAATTCATTTGACGCTTGCTAGGTTACTTCAAGGGTTTGACTTGTCAACGCCAATGGGGAAACTTGTGGACATGACAGAAGGCTTAGGGATTGCGTTGCCGAAGGTGACACCACTTCAAGTTATCATCACTCCAAGGCTTTCTCAAGAGCTCTATCAGATCGGTTAAATTATTCACGGGTTGCAGGATGAAGCCGCTAGTGGTGTATTAATCTGCTACGTGGAGTACATTGTTACTGAATAATTGTTGAAAATGGGATTTTGTTGCTAATTTATGGTATAATCTATGTTTCACAAAATGATTCTTAATAAAAAAATATGCAATAAATTTGGTTGAGAATAACAATACCTTAGCAAAATTGCAGTTAAAGTCCTATTATTTTATTTCAGTTTAGGAATAAATTTCAAACTAAAATTTAATTTTAAAAAAATATAAATTATCGGTAAAAGTAACGATCTGATTCTTTTTCCCGGTTTACCGGTTTCATTACTGACATAGACGTGTAGTCAATATATGAGCTGAAGAAATCTCTATTAAAGTCTCATTATTTTATTTTAATTTATGAATAAGTCTCAAACTAAAATTTATTTACCTAAAAACATATTCCTTGTAAAAGTGATGATTCAACAATTTTCTCATTGTAAAACACATTTTATTGGATTCATTGTTGACCTGTATGCCTAGTCATTAAATGAGGTGATGAAATGGATATAATGGGTTATATAATGCTAAGTTTATCGTAAACCTTGATATCTATCTCATCGGATCATTTAATGGATAGACGTTAAGGTCATCAATGAAACCGATAAAATATGTGTTATCGAGAAAAATGGCGGGAAATTAGCTGATGAGATGGATATGTTGGATTACATAAAATTAGATTAGACAATTTGAAATTTTTTATAAATTTCAAAAACAATGAAGTTGTTGCTAGTATATATAATTAATGACTGCGCCTTCAGGTCAGAAATGAAACCGGTAAAATGTATGTTAAATGGGGAAAAAAATGATCAAATCATCATTTTTACCGGTAATTTATGTTTTTTCGTAAATAAATTTAGTTTGGGATTTATTCGTAAATTAAGGTAAAATAATAAGACTTTAATGAAGATTTTCCCAGTTCATTTAATGATTAGATGTCAAGGTCAGCAGTGAAATCGATAAACCGGAAAAGATAACAAAATCGTCACTATTATCGGTAATTTATATTTTTTCGTAAATAAATTTTTATTTGGAACTTATTCATGAATTATAATAAAGGACTTTAACAAAGATTTGTAAAGGACTTTAACAAAGATTTGTCGTATATTTCATAAAATAAATAAGGTTGTAACATTTCCACTTACACCAGAACGAACCCTTCCTTTGAGCTCTATATTTCATATACCAAAACTAGAATCTCATCCACGACTTTTTGGAAGCACTTTGAATTTCTAAAAATAGCCATATTTGTGAAAGACCTAATAGGATGAAAAGTGTTTTGATAGCATATATAATTTTAAACATTATTCACACAATATTTTATTGCATTTTGATATAAAAATTATATTTGTTGGAGATGTTCTTATCTATTTAAAGTTGCCAGCTAGACATGATAAATTCATATTATATTGGTGAAAGAAACGAGCAAATCGTTGATGTAAATCCATCATGTGTTGGACCGTCTCTTATTTTCAAATAATGAGAACAATTAAAAAGATAAAAAATAAAAATAAAGGGTCAATAGTCTTTTGAAGTTAAAGAAGACGAAATCCAATCCATAAACAAAATAGGATAAAAAGGCAAAATCCACAATCTCAAAAGTATAAAAATCACCGAATTTTATCCAAAGAACTCAACAAATCATAGTTAAAATTTACAATTTACTCAAAATGTAAAACTAAAATCTATGAATTTTTGTAAAACATATAAACCATTTATGTAATTTAGTATCACAAAAATTAGCCAACCTATAAACATTTTAATGTGCAAATCCAACATTTTCTTAATTCAACTCTCATAATATTAATATTCGTAATGATAAAACCAAAATATAAATTAACCAAGGGACAACTAAGAGAAATTTAGGAGTTTTGGATTATTTTCATCATCAACCCAATCCAATTCTCTACACATATTATCAATCAAGAGCAAACCAACATTTTATTTAAAGAAATATATCAATATTAGTCTATTTTGTAGAGGAAAGGATACATATTTTAACGTATTTTTATATTTTTTAAATTAATATTATATCAATATTTTAATCAACTAAAGTGTATTGGAATAAAGAAATAAAATAGTAAACAGAATGGTTGTTGGGGGTCAGCTGACACTCACGCAAGATTGGCCATTTTATTTCAATTTTCTTTTAAAAAAAATATCTATGGATGGGGCCATAAGAGTGCACGGTACATGTCAGGCGTTATGGCTGACGTGGATACAGCTTAACGTTGTTAGTACGGCTTGAACACCGCCCCCGGTGGCATTATGTGATCCTTCATGGTAACGAGAACGGCTTGCAACATGTATTGAAAATTGACCTTTCCTCACTTTGACCGTGTTAACGGTCATTTTTTCAAAAAAAAAATTGTTTAATTACTTTTTATTTACCTATAAATACATATTGTCTATATCAAACTCATTCACATCATTCTTTTCTTTCAAAAAAAAAATGGATTTGTTCGATCTGTCAATCGATGATGATATCTTCGCCAGTACGATGTACGAGTATTATAGGAACGTACTACTACAACCATATCTAGCTCATCTACTAACAAAATGTGCGATGTTAGACAGAAATCACGAAGAAGGACACAAACGTCTAGTTCATGATTATTTTGCGGAAATGTGTGTCTACCAGCCAAACGTTTTCAAAAGAATGTTTCGTTTGTAAAAAAAAATATGTTTGTACGGATAGCAAATGCCTTGGAAAACATACATCATTTCTTTCAATTTTATATATTTTGAATATAGCTTTTAGATAGAATAAATATATCTTTTTTACTTCTTAAATATATGTTTATGTATGAATTTTTCCAAATAAGATATGATGCTAGAGGTAGGCAAGAATTCACACGGTCGTAGAAATGTGATGTGGCAATTAAGTTGATGGCTATAGGAGGGTCACCCGATTTTATTATATGAGAATATCTGAAAGAACTACAAGATAAAGTTTGTATTGATTGGCAAAAGGTGTTGTTGAAACATTCGATGACATTTATCTGCGGAAACCTTCGTTGAATGATATGCAACAACTATCTATGTGGCACATGAAGAAAGATATGGTTTTTTGGGTATACTTGGAAGTATTGATTGCACATAGTGGAAATGGAGAAATTGTCAAGTGGTGTGGAAAGGCCAATATGCAAGTGGTCATCATGGAGCGTTGTCATTGGTGCTAGAGGTTGTTACTTCCCAAGATTTATGGATTTGGCATGCTTTTTTTGGGGTTGTGGGTTCCAACAACGACGTTTACATTCCTGATCAGTCACCAATATTCAACGATCTTTTGTCAGGAAATCCACCGGATGCTCCTTTCACATTGAATAGAAATGAATACAAGTTTGACACCTACCTTACGGATGGAATATATCATACATATTCCACATTTGTGAAGACATTTCAACACCTAGTAGAACCAAGAGACAATTTTTTTTAAGAGGAGACAAGAAGGAGCACTTAAGGATGTGGAACATGCTTTTGGAGTTCTAAGTCGAAATGGCACATTGTTGAACATGTGGCACGATCATATGATCTAGGAACTCTATATGATATTATGTATGAATGTATCATAATACATAAAATGGTGATGAAAGATAAAGGACGAAATATTACAGAAGATATGGCTACGGAACCTAGGCACGTACCATTTCAACAGTGGTAGCGGAATATTTACATAAAGTCATTGATATTCAAGACGCACGAAAACACCTGCAACTTCAAGAAGACTTGACGGATTATATGTACGATGGTAATAAAGAATAGTGAATTTAGGGAAAAATGTATTTTTTTCCTCTTCTAATGTATTTTTTTTGTTTTTAGATGTTATGTTTAATTTAAAAATTAGGTTTTATTTAAATAACATGTTTTATTAAACTACATTTTTATAAATACTAAAAAGAATCGGGGAAAGAAATGAAATGATGACATGGAAATTAGTGTGTGTTGTAACATGTTATAATATGTTTGTAACATCCCAAAAATCAACCTTGAAATTTTTGAAAATTAGAGTGTAGGTTTTATCAAAAGGTTTTATTCACAACCATTAATAAATCATAAAATTATTTTTTCACATTACATCAAGACAGTCGTAGTAAAACACAGAAGCTAAGTCTTGTATTTAAAACTATATCATGACATAGAGTAGATAATTGGATACCATTCCCATCCGAGAATGTCCAAATATCCCAATCATTCCAACTCCTTGCCCTTCGAACCTAAAGGACCTGCAACAAAAAACATAAAGTAGCAACTGTAAGCCTAAGGGTTAATAAGTAATCACAACTCACCCATTATACAAATCATATACAATACACATAATACATACAAACATCAAGTAATAAATCACACATTGCTTACAACATATCATATAAATGCTAGCATACATACTCCAGATGGTACCACTAGATTCTCATCCTGACCACCAACCCACATTGGGACCTTCAATGGTCGATCACTACCCACACTGGGACCTTTAGTGGTCTTCACCATTACACCACCTATCTACACTGGGGCCTTCAATGGTGTAACCTACACATATAACATAACATAGTCCATATAATAAGTAAGTTTATGAGAACTCACCTTACTAGAAGACAAATAGAGTCCACACGCTCAAGCTGGAGGTATCAAGTCTTCTCCAATTTAATAATGAAGGTAGAATCTATATTTATACTTATGTATCATGTTTAGGTCCATTTAAAAGCTAATCTAGGAGCAAAAGACCATTTTACCCCTCTACAAGACTCAAAACCAAACCAACTTGTGTTACATAATGTGGGTTATGTTTTGAACACTAAGACCTAGACAAAAGTTATGTTTCTTGGACTGTGACATCCCAATTTTTCTCGGACAGAAAAGACCATTTTATTTATGCTTATTTTAAAAACAGAGTTTGTTTATAAATGCAGAATTTGTCCCATAAAAAGAATTTTTAAAGAAAATATTTTTCGTTGATTACTAAAACTTGGGATGTCATAACTGATACAAAATATAATCATAAACATAATAATTACAGACCTTACATTAACTAATGGCTTAAACTCCTTGACTCAGTGGATTGTACCTTCGTACTGCTACCT